CTCTGATTCTTTCCTCTGCCTTTGAGTAAGATTTAATGAAGGATGTAGGTAGAAAGAAAAGAGGAAGATGAGCCTCATTTTGGCCAAGTATGAGGTAGGATATTTAGAAGAAAATATCTGAGGCTTTACAAATGGGAAAACTGTATCTCAGAGAGGGCATGAGACTTGCTCATGATAGCACAGGCAGTAAATAGCCGAGCTAGGATTCAAGGTCAGTCTTTTCTCAACCTGACAATAACGTGCCCAAAGAGGTGCCTGGGAAAGGTCAGTTAAAAGATCTAGGAGGTGAGTAGAGAAGCTCTTAGAAGTCAGACTGAGAAGATAAGACATTTTCAGGTTAAATAATTGTCATTGAAACAGATCAAATCCTCTAAGCTTAGGAATAAGACAGAGAGAAGTTTCTCAGGCATGTTGCCCAATCCCTGGATATTGACTCTCAGAGATTCCTCCCTGATAACTGAGAGGAAGTTCAATTCTAGGCTTTCATTGTCCCAGCATTGAGTTTCCATGGGGATCTCATTCCCCAAGAGAGGTTAAATTTGAGAATAAAACCTGGCCACAGAATGGTAGGGAAGAGGAACTACCAGAAGATAGATCCCTGACAGGACATTGAGGTCAGTGAACAAAATTCCGTTGAGTTTGGTCCACCATGCCTGCTATGCAAAGAAGATGATAGAGAAGACTGTCCCAACCTTGGCCACACCTGTCCTTGGGGCCCATTCAGACCAAGAACCTGGGATGGGGAATGGGTATTTTTCATATTCCTGTTTTCCTCCCTGGGCAGGATAAACGGGGCATGAGGTTGTTCTTGGTGCACATATGTCCATTCCTATGTCCCTGACATGGTTGTTGAAGGCCAGAGTTCAGGGCTAGCTCTGCATAATGTGAAAAGCTCACTATAAGAATTCTGTTCAGCTTCTCAACAGCAAAGAGGTCCCACAGTATAAGTCTCGGCGGTCTATCGGGAGCTTCCTACTTTCATCCTTGAGAAATTCCAATAAGGAGGTACAGACCATGAGTTTGCAGGGGTTGGGCAGCCTTCTACTTCAACCTAAGAAGGTAAGAATGGAAATACTCACAATGCTATTGATGGAAAATGTCCCCAGAAAGGATATCACCACTAGTTCAGGATTTAAGGTTTAAGGCCATGATTGTTTCTCCCTGCCCTCCTCCCTTTCCTAACCACCTTGTTAAAAAAAAGAAAAAAGTCACTTCACTATCCTTTCATGCTCTCCCTGGACACACACTACTTTCTTATTTAGCACCATCAAAAGTCCCTCTTTTATTTTATCCTAGTTTTTTCCTCCCCAACCCCCAACATCCCCCTAACATAGAATCACAGTTCTCAGAGTTAGAAGGTACCTCAGAGGTCATCTAGTTCAACACATGCCTGAACAAGAATACCTACAACTTAGATATTGAAATTCTAAATGGATTTTTAAAAATCTCAGAAATTCAGATGTTCCATCCAGTAATCCAGATTGCAACCTATTTCTTCCTACCCAATATTGTGTTACTCTTGTTTGGATCTCCCAAGAAGTTTGGGACAAGTGGTTCACACTATATGCTAGAGGCCTCCCTTGCTTTCTCTTGACATAACACTGATAGCAGTAGAATACGAGTTGCTTTCTGACTATCTCCTGCTCTTGCCACATGCCTATCCCATTTTTTTCACTTACTTGCTTAGATGACCTCCTTTACTCCAGTTTTTTTTTGTAGTTCCCTATTTGTTATGTGTTATAGAGTGATCATACCTACATATGCCATTTCATTGTCTTATGAATGATATTCATTTTTAAATCTTCAGAAACTGTAATAGTCATTGACTCAAAGCCACATAACAATGATGACAGAATGTTACTCTGAAAAAGATGGACCTTAATTTAAGGGGAAATAAAAGAGCTTCGCAATTTCTTGAAAGTAATTTAGCTCACTCTCTCTTTTAATATCAAAACTCATTATCCACTATCAGTATCTATCCAAGAAGTAGTTATGTATAGAGCTGGGCTCTATACGTTATTCTTACAACTACTTACCATAATCTGGACAATAGAGATTATTCACTCACTTGCTTTTCCTATGTGGATGTTTAAGCCAAAATCCTTTGAGTGATTATGGGTCTTCTCCAGAAGGCTATGTAGTATTCCAGGGTTTCATAAAACCAAAATCTTGTCATCTGTAAAGAGGATCAGCTGGAGGACTTCACCATCTACAGAGAATTACTCTTCAACTTAAAATAGATCTCTTCCATTATAGTGGCAAACACCTTTAGTTGGTAAAAGTCGTTATCATATCCCTTGTCTGGTATTAATCACCGGAGGATCATTGAATAAGGCTATCTCTTGTTATATATTTGTTATATATTTCATGAAATCTTGAATAATTTTGATGTATGCATGCAAGGTGCCTTTTAGGTAGTGTTTTGCTCTACTGAATCAGTAGTCAATAAATAGCAAGCCAAGTGAGCTCTTGAATTCACCAAAGGATCTTCTCCAGTCTAAGCATTCCCAACTCCTTCAACTGATCTTTATGTAATTTGATTTCTAGATCCCTCCCCATCCAAGTCACCTTTTTGATAAACTCTATTTTGTCAATATTCCTCTTACAGTGTGGTACACGTGCAACGATTATGTCCTCTCAATTTCTTCTCTCCTCCAGCTTATACATCCACATTTCTTTTAATTGGTCTTCATAAGACAAGGTTTCCAGAACCTCTTTCTGTCCAGCAAAGGAAGGAGCTGAGGGCACACGGGCAAACTTTCACCCCTTTACTATTTTGCTAAAGGCCTGCCAGATCAGGGAAAAAATTCTGAGGGAGCTGCTGTTTTAGGTGGGAGGGGTCCAGAAGACAATTTTAGCTTTGTAGAATATACAGAGCTTCCCGGTAAATCTTTAGCCGGAATACATTAAGGTCTATCTCCTTTTCATCTTCATTCCCTGCAGGGAGATCTGCTCCGGAACCAACTGTCAGACATGATGGAAAAATTGTTGCTTAAGGAAGAGGAGAACATTTTGGTACTTATGAGCATCATTGGTGAAATCTTGCATTGTTTGACTTTACAAGGTGCTGGCTCCAACAGCCTCAAGGTGGCAGAGCAGCTGTTTGATCTCTTTGATGACGTAGGTGTCAGGGCTAGGCAAAGGTGGGGGGGTGGTCCAGGGTCAGGGGCTAATGGGAAGAACTCAGCTCTTAACCTGAAGTCTCACTAAATCATATTAGCTTCCTGGAATAACAGGCCTTTCATTTATGGCTGGTCTAGAATACTTCACCTTGGCACCAGGGTGTTACCTTGAAGTACTTTCTTTCTTCAAGACAAAACAGAACATTTTATTGATGCCCTTTGTCTTTACATCACAGTCATACCTGGAGGGAAAAAAGCCACAACAAATCTCTCTTTGCCATGAATTTTCCCTTATGGGAAAAAAAAGAAAAAAAACAAAAACAAGTACATTTGATAAAGTGACATTGTGTAAAGCCTTGTCATCTCCTCAGTCCTTTGGCTTTCTTCCATGAGGAAAAAAATACTCTTCCAGTATCTATTTCCAGAAAACTTCTTTCTTTTTCCTATTACTAATATTATTACTAATAGCTAATAATAGTGTTTTTATTCATAAGTTTATTCATAATTTTATTTATATATTATATATTTATATAGTATATATACATATTTATAAACTTATTCTATTTATAATTATTTATAATTTATAAAGTTTATATAGTGTTTTACAGTATATAAAGGACTTAACATATATTATTACTCAACATTCCTTTTAGTGATCATTTAACTTATATAGTGGTAATCATTATGTACATTATCCTTGGTTTCTTCTTACTTTGCTATATATCAGTTCATATTAAATTTGCCATATTTCTCTAAATTTTTCCTATTTGTTATTTTTTACTGAATAACTATTCTATTCCATCCATAAACCATAGTTTTTTAAGTGTTCTTTAATCAATGAGCACCAACTTTCTTTCTAGTTCTTTCCTACCACAAAGAAGTATGAATATGTTGGTATAAATTAGACCCCTGTTTCAATATTTGACTTTCTTAGGGCATATGCGTAATAAAAATATTGCTGACTCAGAGAGTAGAAACAGTTTAATAAGTTTTCCTGCATAATTCCAAACTGATATCCAATATGTTTGGATCAATTTACAGCCCAACCAAGATTGTATTTGTATGTATCTGTAGTTACTTCAACATTGACTGTTGCAATTTGGGGAGAAGATATATATGTTTGTATGTGTATTGTGTGTATACATATAATATGTATATATGTGATAAATGTTACATGTCTATATATAACATGCATATGGGTATACACACATATGTATATGTGTCTATGTGTGTATGTACACATACATGGGGTGTGCATATATGTGTGACCAAAAACCATTCTCCATTGATAAGTGGTCAAATACATATGTAAATAAAGATATAATACATATACATATATATATATATATATACTACACATACACCTATATAGTTTATCAGTTGTGGATATAATTTGTTGGCTTATGTTTGATGAAATTATTTCCCCACTTTACAGTTTCTCTTCTTTGTCTACCTGCATTTATTTCATTTATGCAAAAGCTTTTTAACTTAATATTTTAATATCTCCTCTTTCCTGGTTTTAAAACAGTCAACAAGCATTTATTAAGTACTTGCTGTGTTCCAGTCACTGCACTAAGCATTGGGGATAAAATGAAAGTAAAATTAGTCCTTGCCCTCTAGAAACTCACATTCTAATGAGGGAGGCAACATGCAAACAACTGTGCACTAGCAAACTATTTATAAAGGAGGTAGAAGGTAACTTCAGGGTAGATGGTATTGGTAGTTGAGGGGACTAGGAAAAGCCTTCTAAAAAAGGTAGAATCTGAGCTAAGTCTTTAAGGAAGTCAGAGAAACTGACTGGGGGATGTGAAGAGGAGGAGCATCCCAAATACGGAGGGCAGCCAATGCAAAGCAAGGACTCAGACAGGGAAGATGAAGTTCATGTGCAAATCAGAGCAAGTAAGATCGCCGCGTGCGTAGTGGAGAGTCAAGTATGAGAAGCCCGGAAAGGTGAGAAGAGACTAATTACGAAAAGCTTTAAATTCTACAGTTAATCATGGAGATAATAGGGGACCATTGGACTGAGTGCGGGGTTGACATAGGTGCAGGAGGGAGAGGCATAACCCTTAGGAAATCCACTGCAGCCGCCTAGTGGAGGATGGATTGGAGGAGGGAGCCCATGAGGTAGGGAGACTGGTTAGAAGGCTATCACAATAATCCAGTGATGAGGGCCTGAACTAGGGCTGTGGATGTGCCATAGGACACGAGGGAACTTATATAAAAGACCTCATAAAGGGGGAAATGACAAAATTTGGCAGTAGATTGAATGACTGTGGTGTGAGACTGAGCATGGAAAGACCCACCAAGAGCCTGGGTGACTAGGAGAATGGTGATGCCCACACCAGTAACAGGGATGTTGCTTCTCAGTTGCTGGTGCACTCCCCAAACTACTTTTTATTTACTTTGTATATATTTGTATTCACTTTTAGGTATTCATGTCATTTCCCCTATCAAAATTCAAGCCCCTTGAGAGCAATGAGGGTTTTTTGTTTGTTGGTTTGGTTTTTTTGTCTTTATATTCCCACAGCCTAGCACAATATCTGGTACATAGCAGGAGCCTAATGTATAATTATTGAATGAAAGAATGTTGCCTATGTGCCAACCAGCACTAGCTTCTCATAGACTTGGATTCATGTTTATGAGAACTGTTTTTTGGTAAGCAGACCATGTATGGCTCAAGTCACTGTGCCAGTGTAATACTGGAGACCTCTAAATTCAACCTGCTGTGATTAATCACAAGATATTGTGATTACAATATTAACCGTAACATGGGTAGACTACAACATAGAACCAGTAATTTAATTGAAACGGAAAAGGAAACCAAACATTAAAATACTCAACCATTCCTCAAATAAGTGGATACCACTCTCCAGTTCCCCAATTTTTTGCCCTTTATACATTTTCTTGTCTATATCTGGTGAAAACAACCCCTCCTGGCAGTGTTCTAACTTTCCTTCGGACCTCAATCAGCAGCTCTCTTGTCTGGGTCATCCTGTTCTCTTTGGCTTACGAATTGGGAAGCTGCTGTCCATCCTTAGGATTGTACTCTTTTCCTTCTCTATTCTTCTCACCATGAAAATGTCTCAAAAGAATGTGAATCTACCCCCTGCCCTCAGACTTGACACCTGGAATCTCATGGGCTTTTGATGGGATGAGAGGTATTGTAAAACATACTAGGAAGTGTGTAATATCTCCTTTTTTAAAAAAACTCCTATTACATAGATTAATGATCATTTGAGCTCCAATTATAATGGTGGAAGGCTTAGTGGGAAAAGAACCTGAGCTGAAGAAAGAGAAGGGTATTTTGAAGGCATTTGGAATCATGAAGAAGTCCAGCCATTAAATTTAAGGAGGGAAATTTTGGGATGATTTAAGGAGAATCTGAAGAAGTAGGATTCCATCTGAAGGAGGAGAAAGGTTTAAGCCAGAGGAGAAAGAGAAGGACTTACAGAAGATCCCAAGAAGCAGAACCAGAAGGATATAGAATAAAAGAGGAGAAAAGGAAAGAAGGAAAGATGGGTATGCCTGTCAAGGTGCTGAAGAGGTGAGAAAGCAGAGTTCAGGATAAGCACAAGCAATGTGCTTCAGCAGTCCTTCAGAACAGCAGCTAGTAAGAACATCACACAATTGAAAATCTCACTTCCAGATCTCACTCAGAGCTGGGTGAATCTTGTAGTGATCTACCTAGAATGTGCAATGGTTGTATTTCTGTGAATGTTATGTATGCAGAAAGAATGGGTCACTCTCCTTCCTAGAAGAGAAGTTAACACTAAAAGGACTTTAAGGACACAAAACAAAGGAACAAAAACTTTGTTCCTTTAAGATATTCTTAAATTCCAGTCTTTCTATTAAAAGAACTTGTAGAATGGTTATCAATGAGAATGAAGTATCCCTTAAAGGAAGAGCCAGGGGGCAGCTAGGTGGTGCAGTAGATAGAACACCAACCCTGGATTCAGGAGGACCTGAGTTCAAATCCGGCCTCAGACACATAACACTTACTAGCTGTGTGACCCTGGGCAAGTCACTTAACCTCATTGCCTAGCCCCAAACAAACAAAACAAAACAAAACAAAACAAAAAAAGCATACAATGAAAGCAAGAGCCAGAAAAAGAGCTTCAGTTTTGAATAAAAAACAAAAGGGATAAAATTAATCTGCAGAGGCAAAAAGAAATGATGACTACCATCCTGCCATCAAGAAGTGGGAAAGTGAAGGAATGTGACAGAAAAGAAAGAAGAAGAAAGACCATGAAATACTTGGAAATAAGTAATCGATATGAGGATAGTCTCAAGGAGGATGGAGCTGGACCCTCTGCAGATGAAGTAGCCTTTGTCCTCCAAGGAATGGTGCGGTAAATCCTCAGGGATAGTTGGAAAAGAGTTCATACACTAAGGGTGAGAGGAAGAAGAAGGACTAGTGGAGGTTGGTGACTTGTCTGAGGGGCATTTGAGCCAACTATTCTCCGAAATGATAACAATATTAAAGGGGTTAGATAGATTCCCATGTATCCCAGACATGAAGGAGAATCTCTGAAGACTTACTAAGATGTATGAATACTGCACACTTCTGGTGATTAATTTGAGTACAAATGATACTACCCAGAGGAACCTAGAAGACATTGCTAAATATTACAAAATCTTGCACAAGAAAGTGATGGATTTTAGGGCACAGACGGTGTTTTCTTCAGAATGGAAAGACCTATTTGAGAAGTGAATAGTTTGATAAAGCCTATGATAAGGAGACATACACCCCAAATTTTGAGAAAGTAAGTTCAGAGAAAGGATAGAAAGGATCTCATGATTAAAATTTTACAAAGCAAGTTAACCTGAGAGGCATGGGAAGCTCTCAGTAATGAAATACTGAAGACTGAAAGTGAAACAATTCCCATTAGGAGAAAAGGAAGGAAGGAGGAAGCTATGTCCAGAGGAAGCTATGCTGAGGCATAGAAATTCGCTCACCAATTTAGATTTTTAAAAGTCATGCAAAAAAGCAAGCATAGGTGACTTGAACAGGAGTATAACTAGGTGTGGCAAGGCTCTACAAGAATACTGTCAGACACACTAGAACTCAGAAAGAGCTGAATCTGTTGAGGAAACAAAAAAAAACAAATAAAGGGGTGATATTTTCAGTTATATTAAGGGTCAAGAGAAAGAAAAGTGGGGTAAGATTGCTATTTGAAGGGGATAAGATGATGATAACTGATAACAGAGGAAAGGTAATTTATTTTGCTTTTCTTTCCTCTGTCAAGAACTTTGCACTGGGAAGGAAAAGAAAAAAAAAGAAAACAAAAAGGTCAATAGGGAGTTGATATCTAAGATAAGTAAGGATATAGTGAGAAATCTCCTGCTGACCTTGATGAGTTCAAGTCAGATAGCCCAGGTGACCTATTGAAAGAACTGGCAAATGAGATTACTCAACCAGGGTCAGTGATTTCTATTAGCAGAGACAATATCCATCCATCCATCCATCCACAATATATAATCTAATATACATACACACACCGATAAGTATATACAGATTATATATGAAATAAAAAAATCCCTAGGTAAATTAGGGGGAGCAGTAACAGCTAAGGGAAATCAGGAAAGGTTTCATGTAGATCAGGGATTCTTCACTTTTTTTAATGTCATAAATAACACCCTCTGGCAGTCTGGTGAAATCTGTGGACAACTTCTCAGAATAATGTTTTTAAATGCATGAAGTAAAATACATAGAATTACAAAAGAAACCAATTATATTGAAATATAGTTATTAAAATATTTTTTAAAAAAATTAGTAACTTCATGGATCTCAGATTAAGAACCCCTGATATAGAGGTTGCTGTTTGAGGAGAGTTTTGAAGGAAACAAAAGATTCTAAGAAGTGGAGATGACCTTGGAGTGCATTCCAGGTATAGAGGCACAGTAAATGCAAAGACACAGGGTTGGGAGATGGGGTGTCGTGTGAGGAGCTGTAGAAGGCCAGTCTGACTGGATTATAGAATGTGGGGAGGGGAGTCATACATAAGTAATAAGCTTAGAAAGATAGCTTAGAGCCCAGCTTGTAAAGGGTCATAAATCCTGAAGAGGGGTTTATATTTGATCCTAGAGGCAACTGGAAACCATTGGAGTTTATTGAATAAGGGAGTAAAACATGGTTAAATTTGCGTTTCAGGAAGCCCACTTTGGCAACTGTGGGGAGGATAGATCGGAAAAAGTAGGAACTTGAGGCAGTGAGATCAATTAGGAGGCTATGCTCATGGAAGGTAGCTAGGTTGTGCAGTGGGTAGAGTGCTGGGCTTGGAGTCAGACATCAGCGTTTAAATCTGGCCTCATTCACTTGCTATCTTTGTGGCCCTGGGCAAGTCACTTAACTTTGTTTGCCTCAGTTCCCTCATCTGTAAAATGAGCTGGAGAAGGAAATGGCAAACCACTCTAGTATCTCTGCCAAGAAAACCCCAAATAAAGTCACGAAGAGTCAGACATGACTGAAATGACTGAACAATGACAAATCTTTACTGAATGAATTATAAAATGAATGCCTAGTCCAGATGTGTTATGACCATGACAGAACAAGCCCAATGGGCCTATTACCTCCTTATTCTTGGAAGCTATGCTTTTTTTAACTCAAGATTTTATAAGTTATTTTACTGCCATGTCATATAGCTAGCTCCTATTGAGCCTGCAGTCATTAAAACCTCCAGATCTTTTTCAAACAAAACATTTTCTTCTTCTTTTTTTTTTTTTTGTCAAGGCAATTGGGATTAAGTGACTTGCCCAGGCTCACACAGCTAGTAAGTGTGAAGTGTCTGAGGTAAGATTTGAACTCAGGTCCTCCTGATGTCCAGGCCAGTGCTCTATCCACTGCACCACCACTGCCGCTAAACAACACATTTTCTAAACATGCCCTCCCCATCTTGTATTCCTGAAGACTGTCTCTTAAGGATTGTAAGAATATATATTCCTATGAAATTTCATCCTATTAGATTCAACCCAGTGTTCTAGCTTGTAAAGATTTGGGGGGAGAGAGGGGTCCTGTCTATATTTTCTAGTGTGTTAACACTTCCTCACTGTCAATTAAAACTTTGAGAAGGATGTCATCTATTCATTTGTCCAAGTCATTGATAAAGTGATTAAACAGCATATAGTTAGGCAAAGATCCCTGGAACACGCTACTGGAGGCTTCTTTCCAAGAAGATGTCAAATAGTTATTGACTGTTCTTTGAGTCCAATCTTTCAAATAGGTCCAAATCCATCTAATTGTGCCATTATCTAGTTCACAAGCACACCCAAGACTTTATTAGTAAGTGGATCCCCCATCCCCAACTAATTTTGGTCTCAAAGTTAATGGGCAATGTGTGTTCTTTTATTACACAGTGTTTTCCATCCAATAGCACCATCTGCTATTCTCATAATGACCACCATTCAAATCCCAGTAGCAAAATGGATCCTACCTCATGGTCCATTCCTTTCTTATCTTCTCCCAGAGTCACAGCCACACTCTGAATGCAAAGCTCATATACTAACTCATACCTCAAACAAATCAGTGAGGATGAGACCATCTGCATTGTCCTTTATAAAAACAAACTACTGTGTTAGGAGCTGAAATAGAAGATTCTTTGAACAAAGGTTACACATCTATGAAGCTCCTACTGTGTATAGGGCCCTATACAAGGTTAGGTAGGATCTCATAACCCTGCTCTCAAGAATCTTACAATCTATGACAAAGGAAAGTCATACAGAAATAAATGTACTTAAAAGGAGAGTAAGAAATATGCAAAGAAATCCAAGGAAAGGGTTATGAGATATTTTCAGAGGGAGGGATTGTTAAATGGAGCTGAAATCTACCTTTCACCATTTCCATTGAGCTAGAACAAGTTGCCATAATGTACATAATTATAGCTTTGAATAGCACAAATTTGAATATATGTGACTACTTCACAGAATGTATTATTCGCACTAATCAGAACATAGCTGTATACCCAGTTGTCTTAGTACTTCTCTGTGGAGTCAAGTGAAACAAATTAATCCCTTTTCTACATTTCTAATAATTTGACGACAGCTATCATAATCCTAAATTGTCTTCTTTCTATAGTCTAAACATCTTCAGTTCCTTCAATTCAATGCACTATGGCTTGGTTACCAGTTCCCTCCACCTATTGGTCACCCTCCTCTGGATATGCTTCACCTTACCAATGTCCTTCCTAAACTTTGGTGTCCAGAACTGTACATAATACTTTAGCTATGTTCTGAATAGAGCAAACAGTCAGACCATTACTTCCATTTCTGTCTAAGATTGCGTTCCTATTTTTCAGCTGCCATATCCCACTGTTAACTCTTATAACTTGCAGTCTTCTAACACCCTCATATCCTTTCCCCATGGATCCTTGCCTAACCACTATTTTAAATCAGTTTTTGTTTTCCCAACACCCAGAAAGAAAAAAATCCTACCTGTCAATGCTAAATTAAGCCCAAAGTCCATAGATGGCACCATTTCATTTGTCCTTTCAAACCTAACATTCGATTTTAGTAGATTTGTCCTCCTCAGGAGAGAGACGAGGTTCGAGGAGAAGCCATCTTCCTCTATGGAGACGTGATCTATAGTGGTGGGAAGAAGTATGAGGAACAATTGAAGATACATGCTTTTCAGTGCCTGGTTCCTCTCCTCTTCCATCTGGCTGACCCTTGCCCAGAGGTTGTTGTGGTAAGAATGGATCATTCACCTGGGACTTTCTGGGAGCCTCTTGTGAACCAACTTGTGAGCTCAGCTACTCTGTGGGAAAGATAGAAAAGAGGAGGAAACAGTCTCTGTCCCTGAGGTAATTCAAAGCTTACATGGGAAGAGAAGATTCACTCACAGGCAGCTGAGAAAGGTACATCATATATTTTGTTGTTATTCAGTCATTTCAGTGTATCTGACACTTCATGACCCCATCTGGGGTTTTCTTGGCAAAAATACTGAAATGGTTTGCCATTTCCTTCTCCAGCTCATTTTACAACATCATATATGCCAAAATTCAAAATGCTTGTCATCTACTGAAGGAGTCTATACATGAGAACCATTATAGTGGGTCAGAATAGTAAAGAAAGAGTTCTTAAGGGATATTGAGTGGCTTTTGGTTGAGCAATGGGAGGTAGAAGCTCATTCTAGATAGAGAGAGTAATGGGAGATTATGAAAGGGGGAGGGGTTGTGGAAACCAGAGCTACAGAACTGAGGCTGGTGACAGAGGTTCTTTGACTGAGAGAGTCAGCTTCCTCCCCTTCCTGTGTTTTTCCTTCCTTTCTGCTCCCCCAGTCACCCATTAGAATCCTCTCCTGTGCCTGGAGGGAGACCTAATATACTAGGCACCCAACAATCACTTGGTGTCTTGTGGCACTTCCTGTTATGTAAACCTTTTCATTGTTTGCTTTTCAAGTGTGCTTAGGAAGGGGATAGGGAGCATGGGAAGTGACCCCAGAGTCTCCAAGGCAGTAGGGTTGGGAAATTGGTGGTAGGGATGAGGAAGACTATGGGGAGGTCTGCAAACCAAGACTCTGGTGTGATATTTCTTTGCTTTCTCCTGGCAGAAGACTAAGTCCACATTCATGCGTCTTGCCATATTATTCAACTGGGGCTTTCGGAAAGAACTGTTCAATGCATTGGCCTGGCGTGAGGGTCTGGGAGCTGAGAATGACATCTTTCTCTACATGGTGAGAGGACTAAACTTTCCTTCTGGAATTTGTGTGGTCGGAGGTGGAGGTAGTTAGGAGCAGTGGGCCATGGATTTAGAGAGATGATTTTCACCATGAAACATCTGACATTCTTCTGCAATCCTTTTATTCCTAATAGTCTTTTATGAGGAAGAAACAGTACAGGACAGAGTTTAATAGGCCCATCTTGTCCCTCTTTAGACACTAACTCTCTCTTAAAGTGGCCTTTGGCTACTGTTGGCTTATTTTGAGCTTACAATTCATTGAGCCCCCCACATCTTTGTCTGATATAGTCATCTCGGCAAACTTTCTTCATCCTGTTCTTATGCAGGTAAGTTTTGAAGTCAAGTGTAGCACTTTGCATTCTTCTCCATTAAATTTCATTTTATTTGATTTAGCCTATCATTCTTTCTTTTTTGTAAATTTCTTTATTCATTTTAAATACAAAATGAGAAAAGAAAAAAAAACATTTCCATGTACATGGCAGAATATAAGAGAGGATTCAATATAAAACAATAAATGTCCATTTCAAGAAAACCTATATAATAAATACTATACATTGTTTTCAAAGCTACTCAGCTTTTCTTTGATTCTTTCTAGGTTTTCTTTTGTTCCCTGCTATGTACCTTTTACCTTATTTTTCCCTCCCTCTCCCTATCCCCTGCCCTAAAGAAAGTTACAATTAAATGCAGATAGATATAGATACAGATATATCTATATAGATATCTATAAGCATTCACATATATACACACATACACTCATACACATATGTGCAAGTCTGTAATATGCATATTTCCACTTGTCATCTCTTTCTCTGGAGGTATAGCACCTTCCTTCATTGGTCCAAGTCTTTCCATGTTTTTCTAAATCAACCAACTCATCATTTCCTTCACCACAGCAGTATTCCAACACAATCACAACCTGAGATATTGTCTATGAAAGTTTCCAAAGTTTCTGCATTTCTTCTATTCTTGGCTACATTGGTTTTATTTATGCAAGAAAATTTTAATTTAAAATAATTTAAATTATCCATTTTACACTTCAACAATGCTCTCGCCTTATAATATAGTTTAAAGACCATTTGCTGAATTTCCTTCCTTTACATCTTTTTTCCCTGGTTTCTTTGAATTGCTAGCCTTTTGTTCTTGAAATGAACTTTGCTATTAGTTTTTTTCTAAATCAGTAAGATGACTTTTTAGTAATTTAATTGGGATGTCATTGAATAAATAGATTAGTTAAGTGGAATTGTCATTTTTTATTATATTAGCTTTACCTACCCATGGACAATAAATATTACTCCAATTATTTAAATCTGACTTTATTTGTATAAAAAGTGTTTTATGTTTATGTTCATGTACTTCATGTGTCTGGTTTAGCAGGTACACTCAGGTATTTTATATTGTCCAGTTATTTTAAATGGTCTAAAACAATATTGAATAATATTGGTGATACATAGTATAATTTCCCTATCTTTCTCTTTTAATTAAATCTATTTGAGCTTTAACTTTGTCTGAGATCATGATTATTACCCTTGCTTTTATTATGTAATAAATTCTACTCCAGCCCTTTATTTTATCTTTGTGTGTATCTCTCATTTTTACTGTGTTTCCTGAAAACAAAATATTGTTGAATTCAAGTTTTTAATCTGCTATCCATTTCCATTTTATGGGTAAATTCATCCCATTCATATTCTAAGTTATAATTACCTCTTGTCTATTTCCCTCCTTCCTATTTTTCCTCACCATCCTTCTCACCCTATTTACCCTATCCCTTCTTACTCCTCTAATTTATTTCTACCTGCTACTTTGCCCTCCTATTCCTTAACCTACCCAACCCTCTAAGAGTCCCTCCCTTATCCTCTCCTCCATCCCATCCCCTAGCCTTCTTATTTCTTTCTGAATTTAGAAGACTTTTATACCCTTCTAGATATATATGTTCTGTCTTTCACCCTTTCCTGATGAAAGTAAAGTTCCAGCCCTACCTGCTCTCCCCACTCCTCACTTGCTTCTTCTGTATCAGTTCTTCCCTTCAGGCCTCATTTGCATGAGATAATTACTCCTTTTTATCTCTCCCTACACAGTTTTATTTTTTTAGGATCACCCCATCATACACAGCTCAGCCCAAGTGTTTCTTTCAAACTACTCATGTAATGACAGTCATAAGAGTACTGATAACATTTTCACATATAAGAAGTAAACAATTTGACCTTTGAGATCCTTTTAATTAATCTTTAATGTTTACCTTATATTTCTCCTGGATCTTGTATGCCAAATTTTCCATTAAGTTCTGTTGTTTTTGTCATAAATACCTGAAAGTCTTTCAGTTTATTAAATGTCCATTTTTTTTCATTCAGGATTATATTTAACTTTGCTGGGGAAGTTATCCTTGGTTGTAACCCCAACTCTTTTGCCCTATGAAATATAGTATTCCAAGACCCATGGTCCATCAATGTAGTAGCTGGTAGGTCTTATGTAATCCTTATTGTAGCTCCATGATATTTAAATTGTTTATTTTTTCCTTGTTGCTTGCAATATTTTCTCTTTGACCTGGGACTTGGCTATGATATTCCTGTAAGTTTTCCTTCTGAGATCTCTTTCAGGTGGTGACTGGGAGATTTTTTCTATTTCTACTTTGCCTTCTTGTTCTAGAACTTCAGGGCAATTTTCCCTGATAATTTCTTGTAGTATTGTATCAAGATTTTTTTATTGTACCTTTCAGACAATTCTTATATTACCTCTGCTCAATCTGTTCTCCAGATCAGTTGTTTTTCTGATGATATATTTCATATTCTCTTCAATTTTTTCATTCTTTTCATTTTGTTTTATTATTTCTTGGTGTCTTAGAATGTCATTAGTTTCCCCTTGCCCAATTCTAGGTTTCAAGGAATTATTTTCTTCCTTAAGTTTTTTATTCTCTATTTCCAGTTGGTTGACTTTCTTTTCATAATTTTCTTGGATTGCTCTTATTTTTTTCCCTAATTTTTCCTCGATCTCTCTTATTTAATTTTTAAAGTCCTTTTAAAGTTCTCCCAAAAACTCTTTTTGGGCTTGGGACCATTTGACGTTTCTCATTGAAAAAGGAGTGGGTTTTTTAGCTCCACTGTCTTCCTCTGACTATGAGTCCAGATCTTCTCTATTCCCACAGTGGCTATCTATGGTTGGATTCTTTCTCCTTTGCTAACTCATTTTTTGTTTTATTTTATTCTTAGCAGTTATTACTATAATCAAGTTCTAGTCCCAAGGTGCGGGGAATGATGCCCCAAGCCTCAGCTTCTTCTTGCTGCTATTTCTTGGGCTGTATCCTGGGGCCCAGCCTTGGGTACTCCCCTCGACCCCTAGGCCACAGCTAGGGCTCCCAACCCAATCATCCTGCAAACGTTCTTGCTCCCTGTGGTTCCCTCTGGTGGCTGCAAACTACAGCTGTCCTCTCTGTCCCAGAGCTGAAACCAGGGACTCTGCTCTCCTACAAGTGCCCACAGCCAGCAGGGTCCCGGCCCCTCTGCTACTGCACTCATCAAGCGTGTCATAGCTCCATCTCCCTGAAGCTACAGCCCTGGATGTGTCTGATCAGCACAGCTGTGCTTGGCCTCCCTCAACAGGGGAAGGGCCTTCAATATTCTCCTGCTCAGCCATCAGACCCCCCACATTGCAAGATGAACATTTCTAAGGCTGCCTCCCAACCCCAGCTGCCCCAGGGCTTGTCATTCGTTGATTCTACAGAGGCAGCCTGGAGGTGTTTGCACCTCACTCAGGCCAAACCTCTGCCCCTGGAGGCTCAGTATTTCCTGGGGTCTTCTCAAGTTGTCTTAGGAGGACAACTGCTTTACCCTGACTCCTATTTATTTCTGTTGCTTTCCATTCACTCTGAGGCAATGTTCAGCCTTTTATTTGTGGAGGAAATTTGGAGAGCCAGAAGTTTTCTGACCTACTCTGCCATCTTCCCAGAATCCTCTCAGATTTAGCCTATCATTCTAATCTGATGAGAACTTGTTGAATTCTCTGGCATCTGGTGTGTTAATTCTCCCTCTTCATTTTATTTTATGTCCTCTGCAAATCTGATAAGTATCCATTTATGCATTTATTCAAGTCATTAATAAAAATCACTAAATTCTAGTAATAAAAATTGCTAGTCTCAGCTCTATCACTGACCACCTGCATAACCTCGAGGAAGCTACTTTGTATGGCTGGCAGTATCATCCATGACCTCCTGACCTCCCAGGACTGTCATGAGTCAGGTGAGATAATGAATATGAAAGTCCTCTGGAAACTACACAGTTCTATATATGTATGAGGGATTGCTGTTATAGCAGAACACTTAATATGGTCCAGCCCAGACCTAGGTACTGTGAGAGATACCCTATACTTCCATGCTAGAGGAGGCACAAATATAAATAGGATAAAGTCATAGACTTCAATAAGCTTACAGGGGCAATATATAGGGAAATATGACATGTATAAATAAGAATGATCAAAACTAAAATGTGGTAAGTCCATAAAGTAGATAGGTATTACAGTGGATAGAGCACTTGGGAATCAGGAAGGATCATCTTCACGAGTTCAAATCTAGCCTCAGACATTTGGTAGCTGTGTGACCCTAGGCAAGTCACTTAACCCTGTGGGACAGAGACCACTACTCAAATTCAAAATGAAGACTCAGGTACCTTGAAAGCAGAAAGGAGTTTATTGCTTTCTCATGAGAAAGGGTACCGCCCCTCATGGCCCAAATGGGGCTGGCCAGGAAGGCCAAGTGCATACAGAAAGCAAAGCTTATTTATATCCTAACCAGAGTTCCTCCTCCTTAACCCTCTTCCCCTTATCCCTTTGTCTAGGTTTCAGGGGGCACAATCTATTCAAGGAAATCTTCCCCAGCAACAGAGTACACAAGTTTGCCCGGAAACAAGAAAAGGCGAGAAGTCTTGCAGTTTAGGTTGGGGGGGGGTGGGTAGGGCTATTCTATTCTTTCTGCTACATG